AATTATTTCAATATGATAATTTATGATTTTTTTTAAACTTTTTCAAATAAGACATATTTGAGCTAAATATAAATACTTTTTTTTTTACTAAAAAAAATATATATGGTTCTAGGAGGGTTTTCGAATTATATATAGTGATTATAACTCTGTGAGATTCACAAAAATTTCCTTTGGTTTTTTTTTTTTTTTGGGAAACTTGTTTGCATGAATGTTTTCCACCTTCGATTTTTTAACTATTTGAAAAAGAAAAATAATTTACCCAAAAGATTAAACTATTCGAAAAGGAGAATTGTTATTGGAAAGAAATCTACTTACAATTGATTATTCGATATGAGCAAACACTAAGAATCTGAATATAAAACAATTATTTCTTTTTCAAATTTGTGACATAAGTAAAATTATTTTCAGTTTACAAAAAAGCTTAGGGTATATAAATTTAATTTATTTTCAGAAAAAGACCAGCGGCGATGAAAGAAATAAAAAAAATAGAATAAAACCACTTGCAGTAAAGTATTAAGAGTTAAATTAATTAAATTTGAAACTTGAAGAGATGGGGACGAAATAATAAAAGACAAAATGCATTCAAAATGAGTTGACATTAATTTTATCAATTCCAACAATTGGCTCTCAGTAATTTTTATATCAAATTATTTGTTGGAAAATATTCCCGCAATATTAGCCATTTTTAAATTTTACATTGTCACTTAATTATTATTTTTTTCTTCTAGGAACTATAAGACCAACCTCTTCATTCGACATCTCTAAAAGAAAGATTCATTTTTTTAATAAATTTGTGCTAACTAGACGGCTCCTCGAAGAATCGTGATAAAAACATATAATAAATATCTTTTCATTTTAAATTTCGTATTACTATTATGTCACAAATGACTATATTTTTCGTAAAAACTAGAGGATGTGCCCTTCAATTTTAGACGGAATACATGTGTTGCAACACTTTAAAATAGATTTTACATTGCCCAGAGATAATTAATGTTTCATATATTTAAAGTTAGCCAATAATAGAATCATTCAAATATTAATTCCACTTGAATAGTATCACTTCAAAACCAAATATACACTTTCAGTTCTAATTCTAATTATTAGGTCTCTTGAATAAATATGTCATACATGAGCCATCCATCAGTTTTAAATTCTATCGCTAGCTTGCTTTAGTACTCTTTTTTATGTATTTTTTGGACTTTCATTGCACTTTGGTTTATGTGATCATTTGAAATTCAAAGATTATTACTTGTACTTATATGAGTTCTTCCTCAAATTAAAAAGAAGCATAATAACTTGTGGAATTAAGTTATGAAATTATAAAGTTGAAACGAATTTTAGGTTGGACTATTAATTGATATTTAAGAATTTTGAGACAATTTCTTTCATTATTTAATTAGTTATACACGATCAACATTCATAATCATTTTGAGGAACTTGCACTTTTATTTTGTAATTCAAACACAAATTTTAAATAAATTCATAGTCAATAAGACAAAGTACACGTGCATCGAGCGTAGCTTAAGGCTAGTTACTAAAAGATATTTAAATGCTCAAGCAAATCTGGTGAATAGAAAATTTGAACTGGTAAACTTTAATTCCAGCTATTGCAGGCCACCAGATTGTACCATTTCTTTTTCTTTTTTATTTGTTGATCTCTTAAGTTGTCATTTATTTAAGACAAAAGATCAAGTATTAATTGGAAGAAGGCCCCTCCTGGTAATGCTTTCATGAAGTAATTGGAATTCCAATGCATCTTCACATTAGAAAGAGATCAGTAAAAAGAAAAAGAAAATGACTCCATCTCTGTTGATTCCACAAAACAAATCAGGTCAACACTTTTTAAGATTTGGAAGGCTAAAAATATGGCAGAAATTAGTAGTGAAAAACTATAAATTTAGTATAATGGTGAGAGAGAAAGATTAATAAATTAAGGCAAGTCATTAAATAAGTGATCTACAATGTAATTCTCTCTATAAAGGGAGGGGAAAATTAGGCATAGAAGGCGTATACCTAACCTTTACGTATTAGAAAGTAGATTAGTATTCAAAAATAGTAAGATAAGTTGTCAAGAGACCTTCATATCTTGACGTTAACATGTGCACTTTAAATAGATAAATGGGCCATTGTTATTTCCCAATGGAGTCATCATATCATATCCCAATCAATATTCATCTAACATAATGTTCGTTCAAAAACGTGAAGAAGCCAAATTGAAGAACATGTCAACATCTTCCTCCAAACCTTCTAACCAATATAAACCACAAAGTCCATAGCAATCTATTCAAAAGATTATTTGGACCAAACAATTTTATTTGCAGTTCATGGAACGTGTCATTGTATCGTTGTCTCGTGGCAGGGTCTAATTATGAGCTTTAACTTCAATCTACTGATAGCATAAAAACTTTTACACGATCAAAATCACCTCAAACCCACTTGTAGGTACTTATCGAAGCTTTGATAGGTCACATAAAACAAGTAATAACATGTGGACCCAAATCAAAGTATACGCATACCTTACACCAAACAGTTAAAAAAAGAAACTAACTCTATAATCCGTTGGGTAATGCTTGTGTAAGACCTATTGTCTCCACCCCAGCTAGTGTAAAATCACATGCAATTAAGTATCACTAGTTTCAAATCAGTACAAATGAATTTAAAGTGAGCAAAAATGGCTCCCATAGCTTTTGCCTATTGACTTCGAGACAGCAGTAGAAATGAGACATGATTTCGGGAAGTAGATCCCAGCCTCGCAAAATTAGTAGGAAATCAAAGGTTGGGGTTTTGAATCACAGATTGAGAAAGCTAACATAACACGAAGTAGAGATACAAACCTTTTTCTCTTCATGCATGAGCGAGTGCCCACACGTAGGACAGACTTCTCTTCCTTTTTTTGCAAAATGGAGGCGTTCAAACCAGCTTATGCGCATCTCTGCATATTCACTGGTTATTTGCTGCCTCTCACTACCGCAAATGAGGTAATCAGCCCACCAAAACTTAAGCAAATGGAAATAACACCGGTAGGATTTGAGCCTTGGTAAGTAAGGATCGTCACTCTAACTCATTAGCGGCTATATGAAAATACAGCAGACTATAGAAATGCACCAGAAAAATCACCAAATGGTGCTTGCTGTCAAGACAAGCCACTTATTACGCTCTAAAAGAGAACATTATCTTCAAGTTTTATCTAAACATTGCACTTATAAATGATTTGCTCAATTGCTAAAATGAAAGACAACTAAAGAACCAACCATTCAGAAACTTGCCTCTATATGCATTGCATAGGGATAACATTTCTTCCCAGGAAAATTAGTTTCAAGCCAGTGGGTTTAGGCGAAAATGTGAAATGCTAACTAAAAGTGAGAGAAACAGAATATGAACCCATAACATTAGATAAGTATTTAGCTCAGTGGTGAAAACCTTGAGAGTGGAGGCTAACCACATGGTAGCTCTGGGTTCGAGTCACACAAGCTACATCCCTTTATATAGTTTTTCGTAGCTCCAACTTTTAGTAGAATCCACGGTGTTCAAATCCAGGAATCCGCCACCATTTGAAAGGCTCGACCAACCCCTATCAGTTAACAAACACGGTACTGACTTCAGTTGAACCCGTGGTGTTCAGATCCTGGATCCATTAGCGTCAATAAGGCTGACCACATTTTAACAGAACCCACGGTCTTCAAATCCTGGATCCACCACCGTCGATAAGGCTTGACCAACCCCTATCAGTCAACAATACGTAGAGGCCACCCACTCTCGCCCACACCATCTCCAGAAACAGGATTCCCAGGCCATTTTGTTCCAAAAGAAAAAAGCAAAAAAGAGTATTCCCAGACAGTAAAAGAGTATTAACCGTACTGTGGTAAGGGACAAGTGTTTTTTTTAAAAGAATAATAATTACAGTCAAACTTCTCTATAACAGCCTCGTTTCGAATATTTTTGAATGTTATAGCGAAGTGTTGTTATAGAGAACATATAATATAACATAACATGAAATTTGATTCCGGAAAAAGCTCGGCTTTTATAGTGAAGTGTTGTTATATAGGGATGTTGTTATAGAGAGGTTTAACTGTATAAGGAATAGGTGATTTACTCTTCTCAGTAGGGCGCACAGCCGTAGACACTGTTCATTTTAAAAGTTCAAGGAAGGAATAACAGAATAAGAGATTAACACAATTAGAGGAAGAAAGCAACGGAACAAGCTGACAGATCAGCACATGAAACACTCCAAGGGTATTAATTTCGTTAAAGTGAGCCTGTTTAAGGCTGTCAAAAGAAATGCAAATTTTAACCTTCCTAATGGGGTACATATAATCCAGGAAAATCTCCACCTTTTGCACTTAAAATCACTTTAGGATCCAACATCTACAGAATTTATACTGCGTTGTTGGTCCAAATTCTCACAAGTATTTAATAATAAAGAGTACTACATATATCTGGAAATGAAATTCTCGTCCACTTTAAATTACTCACTTTTGCAAATCCAACATCTACTAAATTCATAACAGCACTCTCGTCCCCCTACTCCCGACTCACGAGTATTGAGCAATACTTTACCACTTATTTAAATAATCCACCAACATTAGTTTCATATTATCACACCATGAAAGAACCAAAAAGAAGTGCCAAAGAACATAGCAACAGATGAGAGATCAGGATGATTAGTGCAACAAGTGCCCATAAA